CAACCCTTGATAAACTCACAGGAATTCCCCTCAGCTGTTTGTCTTTCATCCTCTTTAATCTTTTACCAAATACATGTATGTCCAACATCTGAAGCATGCTCTATTCTCAGAAATTGCATATCAACAGGACGTCATCCTTAATGGATCTGGATGGATGGTTGAGTGTTCTGAGAGCTTGGATTAGTGCAGCATTTGTTTTCATGATGATATTGGTATCAACTTGACATTGATTTGCTGCAGGCCACACTTTCCTCCAGTGAGCTGTCTTGTTCTTTTAATAGATAGACTGGGATGCTTGTGTAACTTGGCGTACAATGTTGGTTCAGTGGCTCTATAACTCACTCACGGTGTCAGTTGCAGTGGTGACCGAATTAAGGCTAAGCTACCAACTCAGAGTTTTGCACTTTTTGTGGTTTTTTTCCTCTACACAGTGCATTTCCTTGTCCATAGTCTCAATCGGGCCACCGTTCAACTTGGGCATTTTGCATCATTCATCCATGTACATGTACAGTACCTGCACCAGTCTACTACAGCAGACTGCGAATAAGGAGAGTAAAATCCCAATTGAGGTTTTTTCCATTTTCCAAGATTTCTCCTCTGATGTCATCCATATTCATTTTGACCTGCCATCTACCCGCCTTTGCCTTCCACTGGCCTTTCCCATTGGCTTCTGCTGTTGATGATAGCCTTACATTGCCTTTGATTTGACCACTTGAGAGTCTGTCACTTTTTCAAGCTGCAGATTTCATTTGGTACATTTTTTGCCTTCAGGGAAAAAAGCTTAACCTAGGGATAAAAAAATTGAATCCCCTGGGAAGATCTGGTACAGAAACACAAACATGTAACCCCTAGGCCTATTTCTCCTGCCCAGAATGGACTGCTTATAAATGATCAGTAGTTTCCACCTCACCTTCCCCCGTGCCACGAAGATAATAAGTGTTCTTGTGGGTGCAGGTATGGTCAGCGAACAGGTCCAATAACGCTAATTCACTTGACCTCGGCAGTCGTTTTCAAAGCCAACGTAATTTAGACTGTTGCGATTCCCTCCATCTGGTATTAAATGCTGCAGTAGTTGCCTGTGAGACCAAGCGTGTCGGTTGGCGTTGCTCTGCTGTGGCGACGGACAGCATGCATATTACTTTGACCAGGAGGTGTGGATGAGAGATGCAATGGCCCAGTGAATATGCTGACTTGAGACGCTCACCGATAACTCCTTACGTCATCGGCGGAGCCCACCACCATTCCAAATCAGACATAGTCTCGGGGCCCCCTCTTACATGTATAAATCATTCACCCCTCAAGGAATGCTGCTTGCATCCATGCATGCATGCGTGCCGCAACTAAATAATTTGACCGACTCGCCCACTGCTGGCTAGAGCAATAAGGTGAAATAGCCCACATCAGAATAGTCATTATGCAGCTTTTCCACCGATTCTAATGACTATTGAGCCTAAATGTTTTTTCATCTGTGCTCAGTAGATTTCAAACTTGAGCCGTCGCACAGAACACAAGGTTGCAGTCGTACAATTAGTATGAAGCGGAGTTCTTGTTTTTGACCTTGGCAATGCCGCCGGTTTATTCTGCCATCATTCTGTTACTCTGATGGGAAGCATTCTACAAGTTGCTGTAGGATTGGTTGACTGCATCAGGCGTCTGTTTTCTGGAATGTGGGTATCATACTGAGTGAAGCTTGGTTGCAGAGATGTTTGGATTTTGTGGAGAAAACATCCACTTGGATTAACTGCAACAACTGTATGTAATTTTGTCTGGGCCTCAAGATTCTTTACCAGTAGCTGTTTAGCCGCGGCTAGGCCAAATTTCTTCCAGTGTAGTTGGACCACAGTGGATTGCCTCAAACCATTAAATGTAATCCGCCGCACACGAGATCACAGTACTCTCATTAAAGTACCTGCATATTCTTGCAGTATGAGTGTTGTTCCCCCTTCCCCCGTCAGTCCGTTGTGGCAGTCCCAGTGGTAGGATCTATCTTTACTCCACCAGCCGTCTCCCGATATTTGTTCAGCCCACCACTTTCAGTGCGATGTCCAGCTGCTGAGGTGTCACTTCCAGCACTGGTTTTACACTGCTGGCTTTGTAGCCATTTCAGCCAATGTCTGTAGCATCCCTTCACTGTCAGACTGTGCTTCACATTAAGAGAAGGCAGCATTGGTTTGCTTCACCGGACTCTCGTGGCACAGGGAGGAGTTTGCTCCTCTCCCCAACTTCTACTTTTTTGGTGATTTTTCCAACTCCTTGCATACCTTCACCGGCCCCTGCAGTTGTCATTTCCACACTGCATATCATCTTCTTCCCCATTTATTGGACTTGGTTCAAGAGCTTAACTTCTTGCCGTAATCCTCTCTCTCTCTTCAATGGTCCCTCTGTGATTTGCTGCATTGGATAAATATTTGATTGTTGCATTCAGCCAGGATTGTGTATCGACTGCTTCAACATGCCGTCCATGGCATCGCCACCTCCAGTTCTGAAATTTGTAAGTTTCTGTGGCATTGATAATTCTGCTGGTTGTTTATTTAAAACCCATCAGAATGTGTTTGCATGCTGTTAGACCACATACAAGAATGCTCATGTTCATCACTTGTGGTCATGTTTTCTGATGAAGTAGGCCTACTGTTAAAAAGGTACACACCATGTGTACATGATCATGCTAGGTTTATGTGAACTTCATGTACTGCGTACAATGGATTGATGACATTTTTGAGAAACATTTTTGAAGCAATTGTGGGATGCCACCTGTAAGCATAGATGCTGCGATTGTGGGCAGCAGTGGGATGCCACCTGTAAGCATAGATGCTACGATTGTGGACAGCAGACATTCATGTAATACAGTTCACGTACATGCATAGTCAAAATAAAACTCTGGAATTGGTGTATAAAATTTATCCAGTTATTACTTTTTATTATTTTGATTAATTTTGTTTGAGTTGTTTGCAAAAAGAAATAAAAATGTGTGACTTTTGAGGGTTGGAAGAGGATTCCAAGGATAATGCTTAGCTGTTTTAGGTCCATGGACGTGTAGTTTTGATAATCATATATCTGGATGTAATACCGGGAATAAAACCATTACATAACACAGATGGTTTCAATTTATAGCTAAGAAAATAGACAGGAGACAGTATCATAAAAATTTGTTCAGAATTCAGCGCAGAGTAGTTCTCTAATCTGAAATTCAACTGTATCTGTCCATTGTCACGGTGCCATTTGTGTCATCCTGGGTGTACCTGAATTTGTTTATGCATTCAATAGGGGACCCTGAACAATAGAGGACAATAAGGTCCGTGATTGGCAGAGGGTCCCCGTACAAACAAAAGAGGAACAATAGGGGGTCCCCAGTTGCAGGCAAATACACACTTGGGTGGGAGTGTGTATGTGTGTTTCTGCCTTGTTTTCACTAGCCACGTTTTGGGCTGTCACACTTGCCTGTGAAAAAAAAGCATTGAAAGTGAGCTCCATGCACCAGTACGTGTGCTGCTGAATGCTTTAAAGGCCATCTGGTGTGATTAAAATTATATGAGACAGATTAAAATTTAAGGCCATATTAATTCAGCCAGTGGGTGGTTTGAAAATGTCAGATGGATCAGCCCAAATTCTCATCTCGTGGCACTTTCCTCTTGGCTGGGCCCATGTACATGTAAGTCTAGCCTGGACCTCCAGTTGGTAATCTGTGATTGGACAATTGGTAGCCTGCACTGGATTGGCTGCTTGCTGGTACGAGAGGCTGTGCCCTGAACTCATTGCACAAACACCTTTGTCCTGTATCTATTTAGCTTGCTACACATGCGTCTCATGTGGTCATTAGTAATACCTTTCAGCTTCACCCTGTCAAGGCAGAGGGCTCATATTGCTCTTGCTCTCAAGTACTAGCAGTCTGTAAATTTTGTATATGGTTACCATGGTTACCAGAGAGTGGCACTTTCCAAATTACCGGTACGCAGGTACCGGTGGAGTGTTCATTTTTGTAGGGTAGAGGAAAGTCCTTCAGTGCTTTTTTCTGTATCATTTAAAAATTTGTCATGTTTACCTGGACCAGCTACATGTAGATTTCAGTGATGTACATGTACTTTATAACACATTGGATGTACTGTATCATGTATCCAGCTGTCATGCGGCATGTTCATTAGACGTTTTACTACTCCACATGTAATACCGATTCATGCAGTTTTCAAAGGACATTTTTTTGCTAGTTTTGTCACTGGGTTCAGTTGTTACAAGTGAAGGTCAAGCTGAAATTTTCCGAACTGTTAATTTTTGGGGGGGGATGGGGTAGAAATTTGATTGTTTAAAATTCAACAAATCCCAAGTTTGCTCCAAGAATATTGGTGTCGTACCTATATATCAGGTGCTTCTAGATCCTACTTGCATGTAAATCAACTGGAATCCCCAAAGAATCGAACTTACTATTTTCACCATTTTGTGACAGCCATGCTCGCAAGTTTATCAATTGAAACAGTGTCTTCGATCCACACATCACCGACATACATGAAGGTACCAGTATACACATTAGTGTACTCTTTCTAGTGCTCTGATTGCAAGTGCGTAAGCACAAACCATTCTAATGACGTGATGGTCCCTGAGCAACTGACAATTAATTAACGCTGCCAATTAAGTCCCCACCTGCTTAGCTTGGGGTAGCCGTGGTTAGACCTAGGTACCAGTGGGGCAAGCAGAAAAGAGAGATCCATCCATCTGCTTAATCAGCAGAGCCCCTGTGGTGTGAAAAGAAGCACTTGCTGTAAGATGGGGGGGGGAGATCGTTGATGGCTAACGACTTTCAGTGATCAAGCGTTAAGTGGTCTTGTGAACTTCCAGGCCAGTGGTCTGTAGACCTTTGTGTGGTGTTGGTATAGCAGGAAGCGATGGGGCTCTGTATAATTTAGCGTGTTCTCAGGTGGTCGTGGGGGCTCGCTCATTGCATTTTTTGTGCTGTCGCGGGATTTAGGAGTGACCGCTCGCGATGTTTGCAGCCTCGGTTAACCGGGAGGATGGCAAGGAGCAACCGCCGAAAGTCACTTCGACTAAGCAAATCGAGGTAGGATTGGATCGGTTGTAATCCCTCATAGGTATTCTTAGTTGGAAAGATTTGACCCTCTTGTTTTAGGCAGTTTGTGTATGGCATTGTAGACATGTAAATAGATGAACTACTGTAGTTGACACTAACATAAAACCACCACGTCAGTGAATTGTCCTTAATGCTGGAAGGTACATACTGGATGAAGATCTTGTGATACTTGTTCAGACCTGTAAGAAGCATTTTCTATCTTCATTTTGCAACTCTTATGCTCCGTGGTGCACGTTAAATTTTCTAGATGTTTGAGTTAGTGTTGAAATTGATTGGTGTCAGAAGGTTCAAAGGGCAGCTTCTAGCCAGGTTCTTAGCTTGGAAAAATGAAATTACTTGTTAAACAGCAAAGACAATTTTATTTTGTGATAATATTTTGGTGTACTTCTTCACAGTTTCAACTTTGAAAAATGCTTCTACCTATTAACGTCAGCATGTGTTTCAGAAGTTCCATTTGCCAGCTTTTCTTAAAAAGGGCTTTTCTTTTGAACTGGTGATACATGCCTTCTCCTGACAACTGGTAGATTACACTGCCCAAAATATCAAATTACCAGCTGTTCTTCTCAGAACTACAGAAATTTTCAATGAGATTTCGAACTACATGTACATGGTTTCACAATAAATCCATTACTTATTGCAGAAATAAGACTTGTTCACACTAAGCTGTTTCAATATTATTTTTCTCATTTTGGAGAAATAGCAGATTTGAATACTAGTAAATTTGCTCCATGTGTGTTTTTTTTACAGATTTGATGTGACAAACATCAAATTTACTGAAATTCAATGAAACTAAATAAAATTTAAAATCTTTTTCAATACATGTAAAATCAAAGTTGTCATGCCAGCAAATGTATAGATTTCTTGCTAACATTTGGTGTTTGTTTTTGCAAGATACCAGTGCAGGAATTATGTGGGTTCAACATCTTCCAAATTTCTTGTACATATTTATTAATTGGTAGGTTTGCGCAGCTTAAGAGGATGGGAATCGATACAGCTTCCGACCTTATGATGTTGTATTGATTACAGTTTGCTGTGATTGATGTAGGCTTGAGCTTGTCCACTCAAACAGCTGACACTGGCCAGAAATTATGGATTTCCGACAGGGATAAGACAGCTCAGGTAGTTAACCAGACATTGATTTGCGCGAACAGATGGAAGCAACGAGATTTATTTCATGTTTTGTTCCCTCGTTGGAATTTTCAAGGAGGGCTGTGGCTAGAGTATAGTTTTATCATAGCAACTAAGCAGAGGATAATTTTCATTGGAGGCTGAGTAATAGTGTTCATGAATTGTTGGGATGTTGATTCAGTTCAGGGTTGGATGTGTTTGACCTCAGTAATACTTATTTTCATTGTGGTGATTTGAAATCGTTGGATGAACAGCAAACCATTTAGTTTCATAAGATGCAACCATCTTGTTAAACTTTAATCTCTGAACGAAATCATTCTTTGGCAATTTTATTGTTCAGAAAGTGGTATACATGTGAAATTTTTAACTGGAAAAATTGGGTTGCAGGAAAATTTTCCAAGGCTTGTCACAGTTATTAGAAGAAAACTTGAATTGAATGATACCGGTAGATATATACATTTAGTGCTTTCAATGGCATGCTTTGCAATGGCTGTGGATTTACGGTGTATGTTAATGAACCAAAGATGCACCTCTGTATGGAGTCCCACTTGTCATGATTGAATCGTGAATTTTTGATGTACATGTAATTGTCCATTTGACTGTTAGGCATGACCTTGAACACTGCCAGTCTTTGTCCTTGTGTGCATGCAGGTCAATCTCAGATGGCCATGGAACTGTGACTCAAAATTCCTTTACATCAATTTGAAATAATCCAGTTTTGTGAATGTGATTTTAGGACAGAGGAAAATGGAAAATCAAAATCTCAGCTCTCAGCTGATTTGGCACGTCCTTTGAAGTGTGTAATTGTTGAAGGAAGAAGAAGAAGTAATTTAGATGTTTTTCCATGGTTTCGTTTTGCCTCACTGGTATAATTTCTTCGGGGCTCTGTTGGCTGGTTTGGTTGTGATTAATCTTGTTGTGTAGGTCTCTGCTGGTGGTCCTGTTCTTTGATTGGTTCGTAGGCAGGCAGACAGGCTAGTTGACCCAGTGGTTTGTTGGCTGCCAGAATATACAATAGAAAAGGTGACTCGCTGATCAAAATTACATTTTGAATCATTGGTTAAGAAGCTGATTGAGGATTCAAATGCAGTATATCAAGTGGTCGGTTAACTTGCAGGTACATGTATCGAAATGACTTATTTAACCTGTATGTCAAGTGGCTAAGCAGACGAGTGGGATTATCGACTGACTCAGCCATTAACTGATGGGTAGCAAGCTTCTTGAGTTCTACATGTAAACTCAACTATTGGGTGACAGACTAGCGCGCCAACAGCCAGACTGGCCTGTCATACACTAGCCCAATGGCAAAGTTGCCTCTTTCCTTACTACTAACAGGCTTACAACAGCAGGCCAGCAGCCAGACTGGCCTGTCACTCGCCTAGCCAGTGGCAAAGTGGCCTCTTTCCTTACTACTAACAGGCCGGCAGCCAGACTGTTGGCCTGTCACTCAACTAGCCAGATGGTAAAGTGGCCTCTTTCCTTACTACTAAGAGTCTTACAACAGCAGGCCAGCAGCCAGACTGGCCTGTCACTCGCCTAGCCAGTGGCAAAGTGGCCTCTTTCGATACTATAGTAACAGGCTGACAACAGTGGGCAAGCAGGCAGACTGGCCTGTCACTCACCTAGCCAGATGGCAAAGTGGCCTCTTACAACTAACAAGCTAACCAGAGCAGGCCAGCCAAACAACTAGCCTGTTAGCTGCAAGCCAAGCACAGTAATTTCCTCCAGCAAGTGGAGGCACTATAGGGTTCCATAGTAGTTAATTGGCTCACTGGCCAATCATTGGCTGGTCAACAAGACCACTCATCTATATATTTGTCCAATCACTGGTTTGCAGCTGAACTTAATCGTGGCTTGGCATTCAGTTGTTTGCATTCATTGCCTTGTTCTGCTTTTCCTTTTGTTTTCATATTTGGCCTCACTCTGCATTTTAAATTGTGCAAACATATCTCACTGCTGTAAACATGTAGTCTCATTTAGTTCACTGGAAAGATGATGCTAAGAAACATGTAGTAACATCTCTGCAGGATTTACGTGTTTGAAGCCCTCTTCAATTAAGAAGGCTGTTATTGATTTATTCAATGACCTTGACCTTCATTACATCTAATTATCAGACCTGGCCAAGTTGCTCTAAAATATTGATTTATCAACTCTCTTGAAAAGAAATTAACCACGACGTCAGTACCGTATTATTTTTCACCAATGGCCCTGTGACTCAAAATTTTAAATCCATCAAAAACCCATTCGTACTGTTTATGTTATGGCTGAAGTAATTCCAGCTACACATAAATATTGAACGTGAAATATGACAGTGGCTTGGAGCTTACGTATTATGGGCTGCATGTTCTGCTGTGCAAGTTCTCATATATGTCTTTTGGAAATATCCTCCGTTCAGAGCTACATGTAGGAGGTATTATTCCTCTTCGCTAAATATATTGACGTCAATAGACGTCATACAAGAGTGAACGTCTTGAGACAGCAACTATCACTGACCGATAGAGCAAAGATGCGATGTGCACACTGGAACCATGCACCCCACATATGGTAGCAAGGGCCTTTAATTGTGCAAACAAATTACATCTACTTTTGTTTGGAAACAGTTTCAAATGAGCATTGCATCCAGTTGTAATAGTGAGTGCCTTTTTATGTGACATGTCCCGGTACCAGTACATACTTTACTCATAGTTATTGTTATTAGTATTTTTTTATTTGGCATTGCAATAAAGAATACACATCACGATACAGAACAATTTAAAAATACAGACAGCAGCGAATGGGTAATTCCAGAAATTAGGGGTCCATTTTTTTTATATAATATTGTAAGTTCAGAACACATTTTCTAATTGAGAGGTGAATTAATGCAAATTGCCTGCCAAACAAATTTAGTTTGAAATCAAAAATTAGTTTGAAATCAATTCCGGTGATATTTCCATCTCAAATAACAAAGGTTAGACACGAAAAGTCACACTTTTTGACCCCTTATTCTGGAATTACCCAAATACACTGTTGCTATTAAATAACCCACATTAAACATCAGATAGTAAAAATATGGAATTTTAATGGTGACACCTTGTTAGGGCATTTACATGTACCTTTCACATTTCATTGTAAATAAGTCTGTGGATTCAAAACTACCATACAGACATATTCAGCATCATCTCAAACTGTGGTTTTCTGTGTTGTCCCATTTGTTCCTTTTTTCTTAAATCCCACAAATTATCCATGGAAAGGAAGCTCTGTTTAAAAGCCTTGGATATGGTGTATACCCATTGAGTCCTGCGCTGATTACTGTGTCTAGTCAGTTACCAGGCTATTATTTCTCCAGTGTTCAGGCTAATGGCAGTGGTGGCCTACATGTAAGACCATCAGTGGGACCTAATAATACTTGTAGTAATTATTAATAAAGGTCAGTTTACCTGATTGGGGTGTTTATGATGGTACCATTCAAAGTGTCCACATATCTTGCCCACACATAATTTTCACACAGGTTTTTTATATTTGAATTGATCGGCATTGCTGTGTGGTTGTCTTTTTAGCAAAATGTCAAAAATGGAATAAAGGCAACTGTTGTCGTGGAAACATAAGTCAGTTTTTGGACAACAGGCTCTCTGTTCACTGGACATTACACAGACATGTACTTGTATGTCTCTTCCTGTGCATGTATATGCATTTGACAGTGTTATTAAACCAAATCTGCGGTTCAGTTAGCCAGTTCAGGCCAGTTCATACTTCAGGTAAATGCAAAAATGAAGCAAATTTGACGTCACAAAAAATTTGCAAAAAATGTGTTCAACTTTTACAAATTTGCAACTCGAATATTAGATCACGACATCACTCGTTCG